TGATGATGATGATGATGGCGATGATGGCTACCGCGGCTTACACGCTGGAATTCCTGAATATCTTTCCCTCCCAGTGCTTGACCGAAGATCCCTTCTCGCGCGGATACCTGTAGCTCCTTGATCCTTGTGCCAACTGCCGTGCTCCGTGCCGGCCTCTCGCGCGCTCCCGCGCGCCGTTCTCGCTCCAGCCTTGGGTCGGGCATGTCCCCCTACAGGCGGATTTAGGACGAAGAACAAAAAAGAGTTCAACCAAATTCAATCAATATCCCCAACTACTCAAAATATCGTCCGCCGACTATTTTTTGTTCAAACAATTCTTGACTATTTCTCCTGTAGAGGTACAGGCCCGACTCAACTCCAGCCCTCGCGCTCCAGCCCTTCAGCCCTTCGCGCTGTCAAATTGATGCCGGCAGCGGTCGGCAATCCAGTCGGGTCCTCGGCACGCACACGAGGGCGTGGTGCGCCACGCCCTCCGCATGTCGCTGCGCATGGGATGAACAGGATATCGAGGTGCTACTGTATACCTGAGACCGCTGTTCCGATTTGACCTCCTCGTGGTGGGAGACCTTCTGGATGAAAGCTGTTTGAACGACCCCCCCCCGGCTGCGTCCTGGCTTCAGCCATCCAGTTCGACCATTACGTGTGGCGTTTTTTCAAGAAAATGAGGAAGAGCCAGACGAGAAGGAAGAATGACGAGGGGCAGGAGTCGGAGTGAAGTAGGTGCGGAAGGTGAGGGAAGTGGAGGCGTGAGGAGGATGGGGAGGAGGAGGAGGAGGAGGAGGAGGGGGAGGAGGAGGAGGAGATAGGGGAGGATGAGGATGAGTATGAGGACCAGTGTGAACCCAAGAGTCCAAGAGTCATCAACAATGTTGGGATTAACCCTCCCTCCAAGCTCCCTCTTCATAGGCCCCATACGACGGTTCATTTCCATTGAGGGACCTGCCTCGTTGGAAGACAACCGTTTGAAGATCCTGAGGCATGCCAAAACATTGTTCTCGGGATTTCAACGCCACGTATCAACCTGACTGCCGCGTCCTGGCGATCCTGATCGTGCCATAACGCCGTTTGTGGATGTCAACACCAGTCTTGATACGTGGATCATGGGAACCATTGAGACTCTTGCAAACTTTGGCAACGAAATTGCGCGGCGCTAGTGCGGGAGCCACGTTTTGAAACGACCCGCCCTCAATCCGTGAAACTCTTGCAGTGTGATGCAAAGACTGCGGGCGGCGCTAAGGCGAATGCCACATTTTGAAAAGAAACCGCCCTCAATCCGTGAAGGTCTTGCAAACTCTTAACATGAATGTGCGCGGCGCTAAGGCGAAAGCCACATTTTGAAAACGACCCGCCCTCAACCCGTGAAATTCTTGCAAATGTTGAAAAAGAAATTGCGTGGCGCCAAAGCGAGAGCCACACTTTGAAAACGACTCGCCCTCCATCCGTGAAACTCTTGCAAGTTGTTCAAACGAATGTGCGCGGCGCTTTGGCGAAAACCACATTTTGAAAACGACCCGCCCTCCATCCGTGAAACTCTTGCAAATTTCGAAAACGGAATTGCGCGGCGCTGATGCGAGAGCCACATTTTGAAAACGACCCGCCCTCCATCTGTGAAGCTTCCATTTGTTTCAGCTTCAGAAGCATAAATGGAAAGAAAGTCTCAGGCGAAGCGCCCGGCCCACCCAAAAAACTGGCCTCGGGGTGCGACAGGGAGGAGTTATCTATCAGGAGAAGGACTTGATGATGAGGATGAGGATGAGGATGACGAGGAGGAGAAGGAGGAGGAGGAGGAGGAGGAGGAGGAGGAGGAGGAGGAGGATAGGGAGAGGAAGAGGAGGAGCAGGAGGAGGAGGAGAAGGAGTTGGAGGAGGAGGAGGAGGGGAAAGAGGGGCAGGAAGAGGAGAAGGAGGAGGAGGGAGGGAGGGAGGAGGAGGAGCAGGAGGAGGAGGAGGAGGAGGAGGGGGAGGAGGAGGTGCAGGAGGAGGAGGTGGAGGAGCAGGAGGACGGATCAAACGGACCGGCTCGAACGAGCCAGCAGGCCCCCGATCGGGGAGGAGGAGCAGAAGAGGCCGGATCAAATGGACCAGCTCGAAGGAGCCAGCGGGCCCCGCCCACGCCCAGCCACTCTCCCACCACATACACACGAACCAAGTCTGGCGCGACTGAGTACGGCAGGTTCGTGTCGTGACGACCCCAGCCCAGCGCTGGTTTCTGAAACCGCGTGGATCGTTAAAACTGGAACGATCGGCGGCTTCTCGATCGCCCGATCGTTCCATGTAGGCCGATTCTGGGCCACTGGCGGCGTTCAACCTTGAACGCCCGCGGCGGGGTCGCCGCCAATCGACAAGACGCGAACCTACCGTATTCGGACTGGTGCGTGCCCCCACCAAGCGAATGTGAGGCGCTCGCGCGCAGGCGCGGCCCGGCTTCCGACGACAGGGCGAGAGAGAAAGCAACGGGACGCGACCATGTGTGGTCAAGCAAGACCTGAAGGGTCGAAGGCGCCGGCCTTGCATGCATGGAGAAGGCCCGCGCCTTGTAAGAAGCATGGGTGCTTCTCGGTTGCCTTCCCTCCTCCCCCTACCCCCCTCTGCGCGTGGCCGAGAATACTCGGGCAAAAAAGAGAACGCAGACAGGATGGGAAGAGTGGAAGCCGCACGGGAACGGCATGACGGAACCCGAAAAGATGTGCCGCGAAAAGCGGCCAGGACGATCGAAATAGCGGCAGCGGTGCCGTCGGGTCGTCGTCGAGTCGTCGGGCTCGCTCGAAGGCACCAGGGTGTGCGAAAAGCCACAGGGAAGCTTTCCAGGTTTCCGCCGTCCCCACCCAGGAGAGGAGGACTGACCCCAAAAAGTACCGTGCCGCATTTTGGGGTGAATGACGGACCCCAAACTGCAAGCCGAAGCCAGGGCGAGGACAAATTCGGGTGAGGATAAGTCGAGAATCCGGAGGATCTCATACTCCACTAATTGGACCGGCCATCGAACCTAAAACCCGGGCTGCAGCATGACCTGCAGCATCAACAGCAGCAGTAGCAACAGCAGCTGTAGCAGCAGCAGCAGCAGCAGCAGCGGCAGCAGCAGCGGCGGCGGCAGCAGGAGCAGCAGCAGCAGCAGCTGCAGCAGGGGAAAGGGGAGGAGGAGGAGGATGAGGATGAGGATGAGGAGGAGGAGGAGGAGGAGGAGGAGGAGGAGGAGGAGGAGGAGGAGGAGGAGGAGGAGGAGGAGAACGACGACGACGACAACGACAACGACAACGACCACGACGAAGACGGGGAGGAGGAGGAGCCCCCTTTTTTTTACTCGACGAGGGAGCCCAAGTGCCTCTGGAAACGGGTGCAATACACTGATTCGGCGAGCTGTCGCAGGCACGCTCCGTGCCCGTACTTTGGTCCAGCGCGCAGGCCTGGGGCGAGCGCCACCCGCGCATCAACGCGAGGAGCAGGCAAAAGGCAGGCCGCGGGTCGCAGTGTCTCCCAAGAGGGCACCGACGGTGGTGCATCAGCCTAGCTATCTCCGATGCTTGGTGTCTGGATCTATTCGCCCAAGAATAGCTCACGACGAGAACTTGAAAAGAAACAATGTCTCCCCGCTAATCGAAGAGGTATGCCGCGGCCTCTTCATCAGCCTCATAACATTGCTCGTGCGGTGCCGTGCCACCCGCAGGCGGGGGGGACGTGGAGGCACCATGGGAGGAGGTCGAGGTGGGTCGGGGAGCCTGCTGCACCGTGCCAGGCACGGTCTCACCTCTAACAAAGATGATGGGGCGGCGGCTCACGGTCGTCATCCCTGCTGCAGCACATCCAACCACGTCGCTACCTCGTCCTCCAGCCAGCCCGCGGGCATGACGCCCGTGAACCTCGTCGCGACGCCCTCCGCCTTGAAGGCGTGCGTCACCGTGCCCCTCATGGGCCACGTGGGGCCCGCGATGAGGAGCTTGGCCTTGCTCTCGTCGTGAGGCTGCTCGATCTTGATGGCCTGCACGTCCAACTCCACCTGCTCGCGGGTGATGGTCGGCTCGCCCGTCGTCGGTTCGATCTTGTCGAGGTAGTCGTTGAGCTGCTGGCGGCTCACGCCGCCCACGTCGCATGTGGCCAGCTTCTCGAGAAGGGTGACCGCCAGAGAGGCAGTCGGGCTGCCAACCGCTCGAAGCTGATCTGGTCCTGCCTCGCGCGCGGTCTGCACCTGCTTCCTGTAGTCCTCCAGCGTCTGCTGCAGCGCCGTGATGACCGGGTGTCCCTTCGGCATCGTGAACGTGTCGACCACCGTCGCCATCGTCAGGCGCTGCCGCTGCGCTGTCTGGAGGGATAGCTTGGCTATCGCGGCCAAGCGCTGCTGGATGTTCGCGTCCTTGCTCGTCCACTTCTTCTCCGTGTGGCCGCCTCGGCGATGACGGCGGCCTCCTCGATGTCGTCCTTTGCCTCCAGCCTTGCCGTCGAGGATCTTCTGCAGCTCCCCCTTGGCGTCGTCCATGGCTGTGTCCCTGTCCTTGTCGCCCTTCCTTCCCTTCTTCGGGTCGGGAGGCTTGGAGTCGCCGCCAGAATTCCCAGACGCCTGGGAGGATGCCGCTGGGGCGGCCGTCCGCCACGCTGCTCTCGGCCGAGGGGGGCCTGGCTCCTGGAAGCTGCCCGTCGCCGCTGCTGCCGCGCCGCCCGACATCTTGTGCAGGTGGTGCTCGAGGTTCAGCAGGCGGTGCTTGTCGAGGTCGCAGTAGCGGTGTGCTCGCGGCTGTTACCCGCGAAGGTGCCGAGGTGGGTGGCCAAGAAGAAGAGGTCGGCGGAGGTCGAGCTGCCACTCGTCGTCGCACTGGTCCCTCTCGTGCCCGTCTCCGAGCCTGGCGTCGTGCAGCAAGTTGACGAAACGCTGCGCGCAGGTCTGCACGAAGGTCGGGAGTGTCGTCCAGGTCGCCGAAGGTCGGCGGTGGCGCGACTGGCCTGGGGGCGCCGGCTGGGGCGCGGACACTGTGCGCTGGCTGAGGCTGAGTGACTGTGAGCCGAAACCCTACGGACGTATGAGGAATGTGTGTGGCCAGGTGTGCCCGCAGCTCTGCTGGGTCGTCGTACTGTTCCTGGCACTCTGGTTGGTCCGTATCTTCAGCCAACGGGCAGCGTGTCTCAGCAGACGGGGTCCAATCATAACAGTGGCGAGTGAGATTCTGAATACACCTGCCTGCTCTCCAAGCGCCACTGAGATGCCTCCGCGTGTGATCCACGCTGCCGAAGATCGTCTGGCAGCTAAGGCATTTATTGTCGAGCGTAATGACGGACAAGATCGGGGGGGTGCCGTGTCCAGGGAGCGTCGTGGCCCATATTTGGTGTTTGACGAGCTCCCTATTGGTGGCGAAACGTGCTCGGCAGCCCTCGATCCCGCAAACTAGCGGGGCCAGCTCGGCCTCGTCACTCTCCGTGTCCCCCACCTCCTCCCCCTCCTTCGGTAATTGCTCCAAGAGAAATTCAGGTGGGGCCCATTCGCGTGCCCGTGCCGTCGTTCTCATCGCTCGAAAATCACAATATCTGAAAGCCTCGGTGACCTCAGGGTTCCCAAAGAAATTGGCCATCGTACGGGGTTGCAATCGGGTGGGCCAGGGCCGCGTTCAGGTCCTGAGAAAACTGGGGAGCCCACGGGTGGATGTGTGGAGACGGGTTAAGCTCCCCATTCGGCAAGACAGTGGCATCTGCAACCTCGTTGCCCGCCTCTCTGGCTCGTCGCTCAAATCGGCAATCTCCAAAGAAAATACTAAGATAATGGCGGTGGTGTTCGGGGTTCCCTGCGATGGACTGCCGCCATCTAAGACGACGGACCATAAGCTCGATTCCAGTCGGCGGGGTTCGCCACTCTTCGAAAATCTGCTTGGTCGTCCAGGATGTGTGCGCGCCGTCCTCGTGCTCAACATGCGCGCGCCCGTGCAACATAGCTCGCATCTTCTTGGCTAGTGACGTGTCGATGTCCATAAGCTCATTCGTGGTAAGCACGTACGCCTCCAGACCCGACCATACTCTGCCCGCTACATTAGCTAGGAATGTGCTGCGCATGCTTCGCCAAGGACCCGCCGTGAACCAGTGCTGCCGAAGATTGCTCCACCCGATAGACCCTGCTCTAATGCGTGCCCTGATCTCTCTTCTGTTACTGCCCTGCACGTGGATGAACCCGCCCAAGTGGATAAGGTTGGTCACTTTTCCTGAGATCCGTGCCTCGGCTTCCTTCGTGTCCTTAGCAGTGGCCAGATGAACGAGGGTTTCCTGTTTGTCAACGTGTTGGGCGTACTCGCCCTCCTGAAGGCGCTTATCTAGGATGCGATTGTCCAAGTAATCGAGTTGCAACGCCTCCTGCACCGTGCCCGTGGGAACGATGATCACACGAATCAAGTCGTCGATAAATCCGCCGAACGAGGCATCAATATCTGTACTGCTGGGATCAGATGTGTCACCTACGTGATCTCCTGGTTCGTGTAAGGGGTCATGGCATAGCAAATCGTCGCCGATTATCGTGTTCAGCTCTCGCTGCCACATACTGACAAGAGGGTAGAATGCATCCATGAATAGCTCAGGCTCGTTAGAGTCTCCCATTCTGCCCCCCGTCGTGGGATGTAAACTGACGTCACCATCACGTGCTTGATAATATAAAATGCCCGTGCTCCTGTGGTGCGTGAGTAACTCGTCATAGTATTCGTCAACTCCCCGTGACCTATGTGCGTTGAACAAGCGCTCGTGCATGCCCGTGCCAAAGGCGTTGCGCATATCATACGACTTGACCAGATAATAATGATGACACCGTCGAAGTTTCCACATGATGAGTTTGATGATGGTCATGAGTCCCTCCCTCCGCCTATGGATGATGCCGCCGTATGCCCAGGGAGGGGGGTCGAACCGACTGCCGAAATCTACTAGCCCGACACGTAACAGTACTCGCCACCAATGACAGAAACAATGCAGTATACGCAAGCATTTTGTAATGTCAGTGACATCGTTTCCCGTCGGGGTTTTGCCTGGCTTGCCGATGGCGATAGCATGACTGACCCGGGCGTGCTGGGGTAGAAGTGCTCGTGCTCGTATGTGTGCCAACAACTGTACGAACATGTCGTGACCCACCTGCGCGTGCTCTGAGTCAATGTTGATCGTCCTCCGAACGCGGGTCGTGGCCGCCAGTGCCTCGAAATCCAGAAGGTCGGGATCATGTCGTCTCCACGTGGAACCTATGCCTTCCTGGGAGTACCCTGGGCGGAACAGAAGGGCGGGAAATAGCAGCAACTTAGATATCTCGACAGGCCACGACCACGGAGGTGCATATCTACGATGGGTGCTGTGAAGGATCCTTTTCTTGACGAGCTCAAGGTCCTCTGCAGCCCTCTCGTGGTCCTCAATGGTCGGGAGGGCGAGTCGGGGTCCATAGGCAGGGAGGTCCTCGAGGGGGGTATCCAGGAGCTTCTGAACGGCCTCAGGGGTCATGTATTTGCTCATGTGCGCGTTTGTCGTCGTCAAACCCCCCTCGACAGCTGGTAGGCTCATCGCCTTCCTGAAGTCCTCGGCGCTGGGGCGACTCGTCGGGAGGGCCAGATAGCATCTCTTCCGAGGTCCCATGTTGGTGCCCGCCCGAAGCCTGATGAGGTATCCCACCCGAGCCTGGTCGCGAACCGCCCACGCCTCCCTGATCTCCTGTTCGAGCGACTCCCTCCTCCACCTCTCCTGCCATCGTCGATGCGATCGAAGCTGGTGATCGAGACGTCGGAGGAGACCGCCCGAGAGTTCGAACCCAAGGTCTCGCAGTTCGGCCCGCTGTCGAAGTAACCTCCTCCTCTCCTCCTTCGCCTCGGTGACCCACGCGGGAGGAGGAGGAGGAGGAGGAGGAGGAGGAGGAGGAGGAGGAGGAGGAAAAAGAGGAAGAGGAGGAGGAGGAGGAGGAGGAGGAGGAGGAGGAGAAGGATGCGGAAGGAAGGAAGGGAGGAGGAGGAGGAGGAGGAAAGGAGGAGGAGGAGGAGGGGAGGGGGAGGAGGAGAGAGTAGGAGGTAGGAGGGAGGGAGGGATGGGAGGGAGGGGAGAGGGGGGGGATGAGGAGGAGGAGAAGAGGCGGAGGAGGGGGGGAGGGGAGGAGGAGGGAGGAGGAGGGAAGAGGTGGAAGGAGAGGAAGGAGTAGGAAGAAGAGGAGGGGCGGGGAGGAGGGACGACGAGGAGACGATGACGGAGGAGGATGGGGGAGGGGGGGGAGGAAGACGGGGGTAGGGGTACACACCGGGTCTGGCCCTGAAGAAGAAGGAACCCTTTTCATTGGGGAGGGGCTCCGTGTCCCTTCATTGTTTCACCGTTTTGTCCCAGGTTAACCTTGGATTTCCGACGGGAAGTCGAAGTTGAACTTCTGGAGAAAAGGGGCCTCGTTCCTTATTGTGGGTTCCCTAGGTCAGCGCCCCGACTGTACCCTTGCCCCCCGCGATTTCTGAGGGGGAGGGTGGGGTGTACCATGACAGCCAGCCTTTACCGTGCGCGGGAAGCGGCCTCCTCCGCTGCAGCGTGGGCCTAATCTTCGGATCGGTGTTTGGCTTCCGTCGTTCAGGATGGCGTTCTCGCCCCAGCGCGGGCCTCTTTCTCGCGCGCCCATCCGCCCGCCACCACCGCGCCGCACCACCACCACCACCACCATCACCACCACCACCACCACCACCACAACCACCACAACCACCACCAGCACCACCACCATCACAACCACCACCAGCACCACCACCGCCACCACCGCCACCAGCATCAGCACCACCACCACCACCACAACCACGCACACACGCACGCACGCACGCACGCGCACCAACACCCACTACGCACGCGGGCGCGGAGCCACAGGTCCGCTACGACACGCGTCCGCGGATAGAGAAAATCAGCGCCATGGTAAGGGATGGGAGGGAGGAGTAGGACGTCAGATATGACGCGAGCGCACCTAGCTTGTCCTCCACCCCCTCCTCCTCCTCCTCCTCCTCCTGCTCCTCCTCCTCCTCCTCCTCCCCCTCTTGCTCATCCTGCTCCGCGAGCCCAAGGGTACACAGACAGCTCCGCGAACCCAAGGGTACGCAGACGGCTCCGCGAGCCCGAGGGTGCACAGACAGACCTCCTCCTCCTCCTCCTCCTCCTCCTCCTCCTCCTCCTCCTCCTCCTCCTCGTCGTCCTCCTCCTCCTCCTCCTCCTCCTCTCCGTAGCCATTTTGGCTCAAGTACCATTTTGGCTCACGCGCGCTCGCTGCTGGCCCCGCCGCCGACGCGCCGACGCCTGGTACGGCGATGGCTGCCCGCGCGGCACCGCTCGAGGGCGCGCGCGGCGCGCTCCTCGCGGTCCACGCCGCCGCTGGGCTGGCGGCCCGCGCCCCCGCAGGCGGCCGCGACGCGGTGCGCCTGCTGCGCGCGGCTGAGGGCCTCCTCCGCACGGCCGTGGCCGTGCTGGCGGCGCCGCCGCCTGCTCCCGCCCCGCCTGCTGAGGCGGCCGCGCCACCCGCCGCCCCGCGGCGGCGGCGCCGCCCGCGCGGACGAGGCCGAGGAGCAGCCGCGGACATGGCGCCGCTCGACATGGAGGTGGTCGACGACGGGGGCGGGGCGGCGGAGGGTGCCGTGCGGGGCGCTGCGGCTCCCGATCCATCGCCCGTGCCGATGCTGGAGGACGACAGCTGGGCTGATGCTCTGCCGTTGGTGCAGCGGAGCCGCCCGCCATCCAGCGCGGCCTCGCGCGAGGGCAAGGGCAAGAACACGGGCAAGGGCGGCGAGCACTTTGGCAAGAGCAGGCACGCTGGATTGGAGATCTGGCAGCTTCGGAATCTCGTCCGCAGCCTGGCGACGCGCGCGAGGCTCCCCAAGGTGCCCGAGATCCCGTTCGACCGCGACGAGCTGATCGCAATGGCCAGCAACTTCGAGGAGATGCTGACCGCGTACGACGGCCCCCGCGCAGGTCGCGGCTCGGGCACGTGACAGGCGAGCTGGGCGTCGGCATCGGTATGCCCGTCGCGCTCGGCCTCGCGGCCGGGGGCCCTAGGCAGC